ACGGCTCGCTGGTTGTACATCACCCGAAAATGGGCCATACACGCACAGTCCGGAATGGTTCATTTCGGTAATGTGACCAACAATCGACTGGAGAATACGAACGGACGCCTTAATGATCGGGTGCACCACTCCGACACGTTGTCTGTCCGTTGTCTGTTAATGACGTCCTACGCATTACATGTAAGTCTCATATTTCTTGAGAGGTGCAGTAAACAGGCATGCGAAATAACCGCTGAAGATGGCATTGTGTGAACAGGCATCTACCACAGCATAGTCGCTGCAGTGAATTTTGGGGTAAGTATTTCTACCTGTTCGTCGGCCGTCCGCCTCATGGTGATATTTCGATGACCTGAATTATATCTACCTCTCATTTCAGGATTTCAACGGTCAAATGAACGCTCCTCACGAAGAAGAAAATGCGCCTCACACAAAGACGTATGTAAACTTTAAAACGACCAATATATCTCAAAATTTCAACACGTCCATTTTGAACCTTTTCTCCGTTACTGATGGATGCATTAGTTAGGCATCGTTTACACCTTGCCGCATGTTAGTGGAGTGCGTCGGTTAAGATTGTTCAGCTGTCTGGTATTATCGACGTTGACTCTATGTGGCTAGTTAGTTAGGCATCGCGTGCCCATAGCCGCATGTTAGTGGTTTGCGTCAGTTAAGATCATTCAGCTGTTCGGTATTATTGACGTAGACTCTATGTGGCTAGTTAGTTAGGCATCGCGTATCCATAGCCGCATGTTAGTGGTGTGCGTCTGTTAAGATCATTCAGCTGTCTGGTATTATCGACGCAGACTCTATGTGGCTAGTTAGTTAGGCATGTCGTACCCATAACCGCATGTTAGTGGTGTGCGTCAGTTAAGATCGATGAACCTCGAGGTCTTTCTAGCATAATTCGGAACCTATAATGAAAAACTGTAATTTGCCAGTCAACGTGCACAATGTTTAGCAAATAATTAGCGTGCACTACGGAATTTTTACTGGCAACAAAGAATCATCGATCAAAATTTGTTTGCACGAATGCGCCTACGCATATTTTGCATCTCCAAAGGCCATTTAGATTCTAGAATGTTGAGGAAATCTGTTCCGGTGGAAAAATACCTGAAAGTTACGTTCATGGTATGCGAGTCAACCTTTTCCACGATTCGCGATTTTTTGTCATCAAGTAACGTATTCAAAGTCGCCGGTGTTTATTCACCTGGGGATTTAGTTCACTTAAACAAATCGCCATAGTAAGGGATTTTCAATAATACAGGAGCATATACATTATACATAGACATTCTACACTATAAAGTGGCAAGTCTGAAAATGCCGTAGATTTCGAGAACTCAATCTCATTGTGCGAATGGCCAGCGGCATGGGTTATCGCGACTTGGAGCAAAATTTCAATCTTTTGCAATTGCCGGAATTGGCGAGTAGTTTTGCAGGTGTAATAATTTACGGAACTAACTAGAGCCAATATTGTTCCGGTGGAGCAAAATATGATACAGCATCACCCTTGTAACCAGATTTGGTCTTTTGTCTACTGGTACACTGAAATGGAGAGGAATTAAGTGTTTTAGACCACGCGATTAACTTTTTCAGTCGGAATGTTTTACCAGATATCATGAACGTAAGGCTTCAGACAATAATGAACCCTGGCCACAAGTCAAGCTTCTCTTGCATTGCTCGGTATCGGCGCGGAAACATTAAGTTCAATGATGCCTAATCAATCCACGTCGACCAAAGACGACAGATGAGCGAACCCGGCTGACGCGCGCCCATCTATTTCTGTCTACGGTTAAGTATGCGACGGTAGCCCACACAACGTGTTTGCGAACAAAAACACATGAATGTTTTAGGATACATACGTGCTTCCTGATAGCTTTTCAAATATGCACGTAGAACAACTTGGCATTTCAGCTGAACACTATACTCGCCACCCATATTGATGTCGCTAGTTTGTCTATTGCTACTGTCTTCACCGGACAATCCCCCCTCATTATCTCAGACAAGCCGAATAGTTGTCTCATTAGAGCAAAATGATTGCTTTCCACGAGGGCGTACATAATGGGGCGCCCAGTATTTGTGCCATCCGTCATCGAGAAGGTGTGGTGTATGTAACCACGGGTTGGGTATACATTGTCTCAACAAGACTCAACCAAATTTTTGTCATATGTAATCTGGTTAGGTAAAAAAATTCTAGTAAATACAAGGCAGACTATGGAGCTTCTCTGGTGTGATCATGAATTCAGAAAAATGCTACATTTCACGTTGACATTTATATTCCCCAGATTATTGTTCTCCTAGAGGCGTGCATCTGCCGGATGAGGAGTTATGGTTTGCAACGGCTTACGTACTCCGACTGATTAAGACCTTTTTTTCTTTGCTGACCCTAACAGATTTGTTCATTGTAACCATTGCCATCGGAACCATGAGCCGAACAATTAAGGACCATATATGAAGAACTCGATCGATCCATTGTTTGGTACGAGGAAAGTTTTTTAGGCGGTTACTCACCCACTGGATGAGACTGAGTCATTGTAATAGCCTGTGTTTTGATGGGCCTCCTCCACGGAAGCGTTGTTGGAGCCCTCCTTAATGGTTGGGGAGCACTGATCAAGCCCAAGGTTATTGGAGCAATCGCTCACATGAAGCTGCTTTTAAAATTGGCGTTTTTGCGGAATATGAGAAACACTGAGGCGCCGCATGACTATCTGCTTGTTCTCTGAGCTTAGAAGTTGGATTAAAAATGTTTCGTAACCAGTTAAGTTTGCATCGTCAGTGCAGATTTGAGTGCGTAGGTTTCATCTCCTCTGCCAACGCCTATATGCTATCCAAAGTCTGTAAAAGCCACTGGTTGGTTGATTGCTAATCCGGATAAACAAGTTGCGATGTTACCTTATTTCCCCGCATCTGGTTGATTCTTTGGGCACCTCTAGTTCGACAGTTCTGTCCCCTCCTTGTGGCTTGTTCGCTTTCTTTCTACTTCGTGTCCTGATTTTGCTCCACTTGTTTGTTTGATTCAGTAGCCTTCCATTTCAATAAGATTCCATCGCTGGTCCGATTGGTTCGTTCGTTGTCTTTAAGTCGATTGATCCCCATTGTGGTTCAACTTCCAGTGACCATATGGCTATCTTATTCGAAGCGGTTGATGAACTGGGTTGTTATCGATGTGTTTATCACGCCACTTTTCCGTGGAATGCCGCGCCTGGACAACTCTTGTTCGTGTATTTTTTGCGTGTGCCAGCTGCGAGAAACATTATTATTATAGCGAATCTTTAAGCACTATCTTAACCGAACCGACATATCTCTCAGACTCACGGGTATCATTGGGTTATGTCTTCCGCTTACAGTTTTGTGTTCGCGCATCTTGTTGGCAATTTTTCTTCCCAATTTAGCCGACGCAGTGTGTTGCATTTCGTACATCGAGGTTTGTTGTTACGGCCATCCTATCCTTTGATTTCAAGAGGGTTCTTCTTAAATCGTCTACAGGCTTAGAGGTGACTGTCTGCACACATCGCCGTAAGTGTTTTGCAGTCATTTCTGCGGTTTTTATATGTGGAAATGTGATTCTTCCTGTTGTGAAGGTTAAGCAGCTTAGTGTTGGTTTTTGGGCATCTCCGCATGGATGCGTCTCACAAACCTTTATTTTGAAATATCTGATGATGTTTCCGCTATCTTTATGATTCGATAATGTTGTGTTGCATTGCATCCGGATTCAGTTGAATATCGAACAAACACAGCTTCCTTTGTGACAGAATGGTTCTTGAGGTAGTTCGAAATCTGATCGGTATAAGTGCATTTCGTGTACAACTAAGTTTGCAAGATTCAGTACACTTCAACTTTTATGCATCTGTTGTCTTTTTGAGCAGTACAAGTGGGATCGTAAATGTGTCGTTCTTCTCCGTTTTCAACCCGCACTGCAGGTTGAATACTAAAACCCACTGGGGAGAAAGTAAGGCCGTTTCCGTAGTTTCCTTGAAGTGCTGTGTGGGCGCTAGTAGTAAAGAGACGATATTTGGGAGTCCGTAGAAGTAGTCTCCATTATCCTATACCATTGTTTAGTGATTTTTTGAAGACCCTTGAGTTTTTGAGGGTTTCATTTTTCTTCTTAACGAGCTTCGCAATTCGGCGTTCTGAAGTTGGCATCACACAATTATATCGCTGAGTAGAGCATCAGCTATTTTGATAAATTCCGCTTTGTCCAGATTCACCGTCATCCTTCTTTCGTAAGCTGAAAAAGAAGGTTTCGTCTTCTTGCAGGTTATTTATTGAACTTTTTCTTCGGTGGATAAAGTGGCTTGCGCATGGTTTCTCGCGACTGCTGTGACGAAGATTTGGTGTACCGTTTGCTGAGTCTCTAAATAGATGCCGATAGATTTGAGGGACGCCTCGAGACCGGCCGGATAGGTTAGATCGCCAACATCTTTTGGAGTTGGATTTTAGTCTTTTGACAAACAAGTATTCTTCTGCTTTTGTGAATTGTCCTCAGGAGAGTTTTTTATCCATGCTACGTTGCTGTTGTGCCCAGCTGTCCTGATTATTCTGTAGTACTTGGGCTATATTGCGGCCCAAAGCAACATTGTGTTATAAAATTTACGGACCCAATTAGCTCCCTCAAAATTTCTAGTGAAGAATCGCGGGAAACGGACAAATAACCAATTAAATGTTTTTTGAACTGGCTCCTAAATGCAGCGCGGGGAAATCCTGGAACATTCGGAGAAATTGTTGTCTTGTATGAGTGCTTCCTTTGGTTTTGGACATTGAGTAACATCGCTGCCGTTTATTAGTGAAGTTGACGGTGAAAAATCGATCACTTAATCCTATTTCAGTCAAGGTGTAGAAAGGCAAACAAAGTTCAAGTTACGTAGTGGTCTGGCTACCCAATAAGTTAGTTTGCCAGGATTGTTGATTCCCCCTGCTAATCAACGGTGGACAAGGGTAACTTTCCTTTTTTCTGACTACTCAGGAGTAACATGACTTACACCTGTTTATTATGATACCGTTTCGTTTTTCTGTTCTTTCCCCCCGTTTTGTTCCTACTTAAGGTCTGCTTATCCCTCATTAAGTGATGTCAATAGTTTGTTACCCGTCTGTCATTGCCTGCAACTTCGCCTTGATTGCACCCATATTTGAGCGCCCACTCCGACGGAAAAGCGGGCCGACCGGATATCGAACCCGGATCCTCCGGACGGCAGGGGAACGCGCTACCAATCACATCAACCTGACGCCCAGATCGGCTGAATATCTTGTCTTACCCGTGTATCGCGCCTTTCAGATAGTCCTTGCTGAGCTTTGTTTTGAATCCATCCGTGAATCCGTGAATCCGTGAATCCTCCAGTTGTTGTTTAATATGACACCGTTTCGTTTTCTTGCTGCTCGTTTTCCCCCGTTTCGTTCCTACTTAAGGTCTGCTTATCTCTCAGTAACTGGTGTCAATATTTTGCTGCCCGTCTGTCACTGCCTGCAAGTTCGTCTCGATTGCACCTATTTTCGAGCATCCACTCCGATGGAAAAACGGGCCGCTCCTGCTGATTGCGTCATTGTTGATTGTACGTTTTCTTAATCCATGATGCTAACTAATCCGTTTTTCTGCAGAACCAGTTCCTGTCAGTCCTCAATATATCATCTGCTGCCCCGCGTCCGTCTGCTCCTATTGACTACTGGCTGCGAACTGCGTATAATTCAATAGTCGCAATCATCCTGTGAGATCCATAACAGTCCGGATCTTACAAGGAGTGTGGCAAAGAAATGAAAGTAATAACGCTAGGTTGGGTAAACATTTATAAAGAGGTCATATGGAACAGACTCACTAACAATTGTTCTCTTTAAAATAGTTCGTCGTTGGCCCAGGTCATCGAATAAACAGTAATCCAATTATGTTGGTGCAGAGGTCCTCTTCTGGACAGTTCCCACATATAATAGATTCCGAAGATGGTCTGAAATGTTTTGGTACTAGAGTTAGTACATGAGACTCGCGAGTGACCGCTGCAAGCGCGAGCGACATCACATGAGAGAGTCGGAGCACATGACCACGCTTGTATTCTGTGAAATTGTGCGAGGGCGCGTTTTCGTAGATTTCCGTATTCAAACGAAAAACTATTATGCAATTGATGAAATACGTAGTGTTATGATGGAAGCAAAATAAAAGTTACAAAACGCCACAGGTAAAGAACTCAATAACCCTCGACGCGTTTCATAATTAACGGATTCGATGTCGCCTGTCGTCTCCGTAGCAGCTCGTTGGACGCGCTTAGTGAGGGCCACGTCTTTCTTGCATTCTGAGTTGGTTAGCGTATTAGATGGATCTCACGTGAGTGGTTCAACCAATCAGAACCCGAGATAGTGCGTGAGACGGGTGTCCGTTGGCTTTTGCCCCGTCCCACCTTATCCTGTTCTGTACTGGCGAATTACTGAAGAGTCGTCTACCAGATCTCAGTTTGATCCGCTGCCCAATTGGGTGGTCGCACATGGGATGATTGCCAGCGTTTTTTTGGAGCTAAATGTTTCAAGTTAGAGCGCAACTTCCCGGACAACCACGAGACGAGTTGATTGCGTAGCAGACAGTATGCAGGAGGCCCGGGCGGACCGACAGCAAACGAAAATGAACATGCCATTGACGTCACTGAATTGAAACTGAGTAGAGATGGAGCGCAATAAAGATCCTGTGAGGATATATTGCCATTCGTGCTAATTGGCACATTTTAAAATGTGTTCTCAACCCTCAAGAATCCTGGTGCCTCAGTTTCACGGATTCACGGATTGATACACAGGATCGAGGCTATTGCCCAAGTCTCCCGGGTCGGTTTTGTTCTTGTCGGTCAGTGGCTGTCGTTCACCTGAAAGGCACAAGTGAAAAAAGGGTGTAGCACTCTTGCGCGCGTCTAGAGGACGATCCTCAGATAGGCGCCTGATCATTGGGTTGGCCTTTTGAATGCTGCCAGCCCGCTCCAAGATTGCCTTACGTCGGACGGGGGAGAAAGAGTAACTAGAAGTCCAAGGGTTCGCTTACTTCCCTTTTGGCGTAGCCATTCTGCGTGGAGCGATTGATCAGGCTTGCTGAGGATCGACTGTGCCAGCTTTGCTGGCGTGATTTTTCCGGAGAATGACCCCCAGATTATTAGTCTGATTTCCATTAGGTGTCTGTCCACTAGAGACGCTGTGGCGGTTTTTATAGCTGCGTCAGAAAGTTGTATGACTTTCTTCTCAGCCATGGGACCCGGTATGGACATCGCGAGGTATTGGTTCAGCGAGGAAAGTTCCTTGTCGACTTTCGCCCAGGTCGCTGCATTCTTAGCGCCTGAGTCCTCCAGTGCCTTCGAAAGACGCTCTAATTTCGCGTCGAGTATCCCGATTAAAGCGGAACACTGGCAGTGGTCTTTCGGCATCTGCACTGGGGATTGGGTACCGTTTCGGGGGACTCTTCTCTTCGCTGCGGTATGCATTGCACCCTTGACATAGAGGCAGCTGGCACAGACAAACGGGTCAGGAGAGTTGGCTAGTCGGCTTATTTGGTCGTCCTGTAAACCCGTGCATTTGAAATGCCACCAGGCCTTGCAGGCGTGGCATTGCATACCGCGTTTGACGTTCGACGGGCAGCCATTCCGCCCACATCTATTGTGGTCTACCAATGGGTGCGGAGGGCGATCGGTATGGATTGACGTCATGTTTCGGACTAGATGTAAAATAGGTGTGCGCAAAATATGAAGGGTTATCACTCAAATGTTTTGTTAGAGTAATAAAATTCAACAATTACTCGTGTGTACTCTGTGAATAGATTGAACAACGAAAAAATTTTTCACGAATTTGCACGAGGGAAAAACGAAACCGATTTCGAACGTACCGCGCCTTAAGACATCTTGCTCACTGTTTGTGATAGTTGTTACCATTCTACATGTGTTAAAGTTCCAGATGCCTGTTTGAGGACGCGCGTGGTGGTAAGGAACAAACATTGGCTCTATGGCGCATAAAACCCACACAATTGTAGCGTCCAACCTAGGACCAACAATTGTTGGTCCAGCTGGACCAACAATCCCTCTTAAGCAGCAACACCTACCCATTCTCTTCTGGAATCAGAAGCATTATCTTAATGGTAAACCAACACAAGGATCTTCATCCTTTTGCTTATCTAAACGATAGTTTCTATAAGAGGGACTTGTTAGTTCCCCTGTGTGAAATGCTTTCGTGGCTTGCATTACACGGGGGTACTGCTCTTATTAGGAGCGCTGTAATCTACCTCTGAAGTGGGGTACACCGTGAGGCCTGTAGAGACGCTTTTCTGTGTCTAAGGCCGAAGCACGATATATGCACCTGTGTTCAGTTCCAGTCCTCCAAGATTGACATTCGATATCGACGGAGAACACGCTAATCGTGCTGTTGTAAGGGATGATTCCAATGCCTCTCTTTCGGAGAACCATTCCCAACCTGTTGCGCATCACGATAGCCTCACGTCTTCAGTCCGAACTGACGGAATGTTGTTGTGAACTCTGGGTCGGCTAAAGTCTGGACAATTTTTTGACCAGGCGTATTTGATGGTAACCACTCCAAAAACGAAACCCTAAACAGCCAGGAATCCTATTGGGTTCCCCGAGATAATCCGAAAATGTCTAAGCCAGCGAAGTCATACTTCGAAGTTCATCGAAATTACTGTACTGACATTAGACCTCGCAAACTGATCTGTCAACGATTCCTAGTTGCCAATTTTACAGGGAGCCAGGAACAACTGAACAACTGTGTCACTGCTTTAAGAGAGGTGAGATATGGAGTTCTGTTGCTAACAGAAAACACTGTAAATTCCGTCAGAATATGCCAATGCCCGCAGAGCCCATTACACTACAACCTTTCACGAGCTGGACTTAACTCGGTTCGAAGTGGATATACAAGATTATCGAGTCACTTTTTTATCGCGAAAAAAAGAGGACAAAGCCGACAATCATCAGCTCTCCTGGGGTGTCATCATCATCATCATCGACAGCATGACATCAGTGTTCAACACCGATGCTTCACTGCCGTACAACCATGACTTATTTGAAAGCCTTATTGTAAAGAAAAGAGTAAAGGTGGACGG